GCTCTCTGATTGACTTTGCCCTATCAGTGCGGCTCCCATGAAAAAAATTGTGAAGACCACTGACCTACAGTCTTACAAACATTTACAAACTGTATCCGGTATGATAAGAATGTTATGTTACAGTTTATGTTATGTTATGTTATGTTGCATTTTCACTGTTTACAATGGCAGGGCCTGCCATCTTGTCTTTTTGGCTTGTTGTTTCTGTTTGCACTTTAACCCCAAGGGGGAAATCCAGATCAAATCCCAGGAAGGAAAATCAAAACAAAATCGAGTTAAAACTTGTTTTGAACAATTTCTTTGTCATCTGCAGATTGATTTTAAGTAGGGGGGAAAAAATCGATTTAAATCGTAAATCGGATTTTTTGTGAAAAAAATCGGGGATTTTTTTTTTTTTGCCCATATCGCCCAGCCCTAATGGAAATGTAATAAAAGTACACTGCAGGATTATTATAATTAGCTAAAACTAAAACCATAAAAACATCTTTGTTACTTGAAATAAAACAAATGATACCTGGAATAAAATAAAATATTTAAAATATATATAAAAAAACAAACCTTGACATTTATTTTATTTCAGCTAGTTGCCAAAGCAACATTACTCATTTTCGTTTAGTTTTGTTTGTACTAAAATTACTAAACTAAAATTAAAATTGAAATAAAATAAATAATACAAACTATATAGACATTTAAAAAAAAACACAAATTAAAATGAAAATACAAAAAATAAAAAATATATATATATATAAAAAAAAAAAAAATCTCAATGACCCTAAAATAACACTGGTACACTACTGTTCAAACGTTTGGGGTCGGAAAGATATATATATATATATATATATCTCTTTCCGACCCCAAACGTATATATATATATGCAGCTGACATAAACCACACTTTCAATAAACGAAAAAAAAATCCTATCCAGTGATGAAGTGTTTTCCATGTTGACAAATCTTTTGCGATGTTCTAACAGCTGGGATTAGCACACATCACATCCAAGTTAGCTAATGTCCGATTCAGAAAAAAATAAATAAACAATGAGCAACCAAGTGTAAACAATGACCAATTCTTTTTTTTTTTCTAACTACTTTGTTAATGGTGACGTTTACATGTAAAGTAGTTGTAAGCACTTTGTTTATCTGTCCTGACAGTGATTATTTTTTTTATTTAATGAATAAATAGGATAAGCAAAAATCACAAACGGTTTCTTTGTATTTATTTTAAATGTATTGTCATTATTGGGCTTGCAGATCACGTGGGTAGGGAACTTAATACTGTGTGTGTGTGTGGATGACCGTCAGCCACCACCGAAGACCATTTTTGACCCAGGAAAAACCCTGTATATATATTTTTTTTTTTTTTAAAGAAATGTCTTATTTCTAATTTTTAAAAGAAATAAAATGTTCACCAAAACTGCATTTATTTGATCACAAATAAAATAAGTTTTCTATTATAATATATTTTAAAATATAATTTATTCCGGAGTATAAAAGTATTAATTTTTTTTCCTCAACCGGAATATCACTAGCCTTAGCAGTTTAATATATATATATATTTGACCAATCACACATTAAATCCTTGTAAACTGATTTCGTCTGTCTTGTCAACAAAGTGTTTTTCTGAGAAGCTATCTTTGATGGCAAGCAAACAAAAAAAAAAACAGACAAAATAACAGTGAATTGGTCAACATACATGTCCCCTGTGTGGAGATGTGGCCTATTATTTCCTCTGCATATCGAGCGGTATAGACTGTGTTGACTATCAGATATCCTTTGTCCCCAGAGGCCTTCTGATCTCTGTAGCCTCTGTTGCCTTCTGCTTAGATTGAGATGTGCACTGTATTGAGCTTTTCAAGGGCAGATGTCACATGTCACTCAGGAGAGAAAACACATTTCTGTTGAAGCCGGAAAACTGATCTGTTGTGCCTGTTGTGGCACAAGCCGGCCAATCGACACACAGATGTCAAGGATGCAGGATTCTTTTTTCTGCCATAAGTATTTAAATCAGAATGATCTGTTAGGATGTTTAAAATACTGTTATCCTTTCTCAGTACTTCCTCCGGTGTTGGTGCCACGACACAGCGAGTTCAACCCTCAGCACAGTCTGCTGGTGCAGTTCCGCAACCTGAGTCACAATGAGCCTCACATGCCTCTCAACGCCACCTTCCCAGAGTCCTTCCAGCAGCACAGCGGAGGAAGCTCCTTCCCCATCTCTCCAAACTCACCCTACCCTCCGTCCCCCGCCAGCAGCGGCACCTACCCCAACTCTCCTGCAAGCTCTGGGCCATCCAGCCCCTTCCAGCTGCCAGGTACCCACAACACCACTCATGAAATTGTTAGTTCGTTTGGGATGTTTTTGCCAGTGGCAAACTGATGTGTTGATTTTCTTTGCTGCTGCGATTGCAAACGGATGTGTGATGCTGAATGATAAACCTGTGATATGACGGTGAGTTGTGCAGTGTCGATTGCTGTCAGTAAACAATGGAAATGCCAGCTAAGCAGCCCACCAAAGCCCGGTGACTTCAGTCCTGCTGCTGGGTGCCCATCACTTGGCACCGGCCCACACTCCCTCTATTCTGTATCGAGTGATTTGCTGATGCCTGCATCCGTAGGCTGGGTGCACTCAGGCAGAAGGACAGCAAATGTTTTATAGCGCTGTGGGTTAGAACTAAAGCTGGTTTTATTCATAGAAATTGCTTGATTGCAGCATCAGATTTGCCTCAGTGATTTAAGTGATGGAAGCACTTAAAGCTTTGATGTATACGTTGTGAACGAGTAACTGTTTTACAATATGAGCTCCTTTTTGTGTCAGCTTATCACTAGCGCAGTCTCAACAGCATCAACAATTCAACATTTAAACACTACGTTGTAAAAGTTTGGTGTTACTTAAAAGAAATGTATATTTCTATTCAGCAAGGATGCATTAAATTAATAAAAAATGACAGTATAGATGTTTATAATGTTACAAAATATTTCTATTTCCTTTTTAAACTTTGTGTTCATCAAAGAATCCAGAAAAAAATGTGCCACAGTTTCCACAAAAATATAAAGTAGCACAACTGTTTTCAACATTGATGATAATTATTAAATAATAATAAGAAATGCTTCTTGAGCACCAAATCAGCATTAGAGTAAGTGCTGCTGAAAATTCAGCATTGCCAATCCATGAAATAAATTACAATTTATAATGTATTCATATACAAAACAGTTATTTTAAATTGTAATAATATTTCACAATGATGGAAGCACTTAAAGCTTTGATGTATACGTTGTGAACGAGTAACTGTTTTACAATATGAGCTCCTTTTTGTGTCAGCTTATCACTAGCGCAGTCTCAACAGCATCAACAATTCAACATTTAAACACTACGTTGTAAAAGTTTGGTGTTACTTAAAAGAAATGTATATTTCTATTCAGCAAGGATGCATTAAATTAATAAAAAATGACAGTATAGATGTTTATAATGTTACAAAATTTCCTTTTTAAACTTTGTGTTCATCAAAGAATCCAGAAAAAAATGTGCCACAGTTTCCACAAAAATATAAAGTAGCACAACTGTTTTCAACATTGATGATAATTATTAAATAATAATAAGAAATGCTTCTTGAGCACCAAATCAGCATTAGAGTAAGTGCTGCTGAAAATTCAGCATTGCCAATCCATGAAATAAATTACAATTTATAATGTATTCATATACAAAACAGTTATTTTAAATTGTAATAATATTTCACAATATTACTGTTTTTACTTTTTTTTTTTATCAAATAACTGCAGCCTTGGTAAGCATAAGAGACTTCTTTCAAAAACATTCAATCTTACCATCCCCAAACTTTCAGTAGTGATAATGATTCATTCAGATGGATCTGTTTTTCTACAGTGAAATCCAAAGGAAATACAGCATAAATTTGTTTCTTGTATGTTCATAAAAAAAAAAAAACTGATCCACCAGACAAGCAATCTGACAGTGCTCTTTTTCTTTGGCTTCATTGAATTTATCTCGAAAGTAGTAACATTAACTTGTCAAGCCTTTTTAAAATTCTTCTTGCGTTAGATAACGTCTTCCAAGGATTTTTTTTAGAGCCAGAGGTGCTTTCTTTTATTAGTCATAAACCGTTTCTGGAAGATATTGCATTCAAATATATTTTGCTGTTCTGTTTGCTGTTTAGTGGTAAAACAGATGTTGACGTATAAAGTAAATATGCTAAAGTAATATGTGTCCAAATAATAAACCGCCCTGCCACATATTTAAACTTGCCCAGATAATACTGTCAACAAAAAAGTCTGCTTTGATGTAACGATATTGCGTAATCTGACACTAAAAGGTTTCCATAAGATGCGAAGCGGCTTCCTGTAAAGAATCATCAGAATTCAGGCTAATATTACTGTTTTTACTTTTTTTTTTTATCAAATAACTGCAGCCTTGGTAAGCATAAGAGACTTCTTTCAAAAACATTAAATCTTACCATCCCCAAACTTTCAGTAGTGATAATGATTCATTCAGATGGATCTGTTTTTCTACAGTGAAATCCAAAGGAAATACAGCATAAATTTGTTTCTTGTATGTTCATAAAAAAAAAAAAACTGATCCACCAGACAAGCAATCTGACAGTGCTCTTTTTCTTTGGCTTCATTGAATTTATCTCGAAAGTAGTAACATTAACTTGTCAAGCCTTTTTAAAATTCTTCTTGCGTTAGATAACGTCTTCCAAGGATTTTTTTAGAGCCAGAGGTGCTTTCTTTTATTAGTCATAAACCGTTTCTGGAAGATATTGCATTCAAATATATTTTGCTGTTCTGTTTGCTATTTAGTGGTAAAACAGATGTTGACGTATAAAGTAAATATGCTAAAGTAATATGTGTCCAAATAATAAACCGCCCTGCCACATATTTAAACTTGCCCAGATAATACTGTCAACAAAAAAGTCTGCTTTGATGTAACGATATTGCGTAATCTGACACTAAAAGGTTTCCATAAGATGCGAAGCGGCTTCCTGTAAAGAATCATCAGAATTCAGGCTCCAGGGGATTGCAGTGGAAGCCCATTTGTTTGCAGCAGGCCTCATTGTGTAACCGCTATCTATCTATGGTGTCTCTTTACCAGCTGATACACCTCCTCCTGCCTATGTGCCTCCAGATGAACAGATGGGACAGGACGGGTCTCAGTCCATGGAGACTGGCAGCAGCATGGTTCCTCAGAACATGCCCAGAGGGGGTAAGAAACTATTAACTTTAGGGATGCACGATATTATCTGACTGATATCGGAATGGGCCGATAATGGCTTTAAATGTTAATATCGGCATCGGCCGATATGAAAAATTATGCCGATATGTCTTGCCGATAAGAGGAATACGTTAACTCACATGTGCTCAGGGTGTGCTAGTGATTAGATCACGTCAGCAGTGTGGCTCATTCTTGAAGCAAAGTTTTGCCTGAATGGTGATTGACTGTTTTGGATTGCTGCATTTAAACTGAGAAAGCAAGTACAGAATGACACATTCGGTGTATGATAGAGTAAACCATAATAGCACCGTGCAGCGGCAGCCTCCCCCGGGTCCTAATGCCGATTCGGTAAGGAGTTTTAATCTGTAGGGGGCACTGTTGGCG